AGTAAGTTCTACTAGATTCACTGGGACTTGTTGTGTATCAAATGTGCAGTTTGTTAAAACTGCTGGATACAGGGCCACTGCTTGGCATAGAACTCCCATCCACTCCACTTCTCAATCTTAAATGCCTTGGGGGGGGGCTGTGCTGTACCCCTTTTTGCTCCATCTTGCACAACACCCTTTCAAGTGTGAGTTAACCATCTTTTCTCTCGTGACCTACTCCACTAAAGCTTTTGGAGTGTGACATTAAAAGTTTGCAAAGGGGAGCACTCTCTTTGCTATTTTTACTGCAACAGACTGAGATTACATCTTAAAATATCTAAAATTAAATGGAGTTCAGTTTCAAGTACCTGTATATAGCTCACACCCTCTAGCACTTCCAGTATATGTTAACCCCTAAGTAAGACTGCTATCAGCAATAGAGTTTAATGTTAATTTCAATAGATCTTACTTCTACTTGGAATTACACTGGCAACATTTAAATTCACCCAGGGGATGACACAAACTTGCTCCAGGCATATTTCAGCAAAACAAATTTCTAGATTAAGAATATTTACTTAGAGATAAATTGCACTAATAGCATAGGGGCTTTCTCCTAAATAAGCTTGGACTGTTGCCAGCCTAACTTTTCTTTTTCCTAATATGGATACAGTATATTATATCTATTACAATTATTCATCCATTGCTGCTTAACCAACAAACTTAACATCTCCACATTTATTGAACTTCGAGTCAGCACTGACTCCTGGCAACTGCCTGGACAAGTCCCTGCAGTTTTCTTAGCAACTTTTTCAGAAGTGATTCGCCATTGCCTCCTTCTTAGGACTGAGAGAGGGTGACTGGCCCAAGGTCACCCAGTTGGCTTCATACCTAAGGCAAGGCTAGAACTTACTGTCCGCAGGTTTCTAGCCTGGTGCCTTAACCACTATGTCAAACTGGCTCTCTTAATTAAAGTTAATTAATTACAGGAGCTGAAATCTAACATAGATGAAGAGCCCTAGATTGAAGCAGCATTATATTCCATGTTTTTCAGGTGTTCCTCAATCTTGCTTTAATACACATGGTGTTTGTAACAGTCCATATGTTTGCTTGGGTGTAAGTCATACCAGCTAAAAAAAAAAAAACACCTCAATTTACGTGAGTTTAGGAGTGAAGCTCTATATGCCTCATTAATTATAACTGGGCTCAGGTAATT